CTGTGACGTATGAGGAGTAATCATTTAATATACAAAACATTACTGGCACAGATAAGTTACATTTGAAATACGTCATTGCTTTCCCCATTGCTCTTATAAAATTATGGCAAGTGAGTTTTTACATAGAAGCCCGTGTTTGGAATTACAAGGAACAACAAATACCCATAAATGCCTCCTCATACGTCACCGCATTAGCATATGACATGGAAAAACATTATTTTATAACTTCAAGAAGCCGCACTCAAACTATGAATTATTTTCGGATTGTTCAACATCTTACCCCATGTAGAATCAATACTGAGAATATTGTCAGAAGGGTGATAGGCACTTTAACGGAACGTATCTATCTAGTCTTTATCTCTTTTGATCGCCAGTAACTGATGATTGAGAGATACTTATTTTTTCTTTATATCTTTTTAGTGAATCAATGAAAATCTCGATAATCTTACCATCCACCTGCCACATGCGTCTATCACTTTATTCTTTCTTTTTGTTTTTTATCGCCCATTTGTATCACCCTGACCTTATAAATACTGAATACTGTGCTCAATATTCAACATGTCACGTGTAGTATCAGGTCAATACGACCACGAACTATAGTATCAAAGGTTTCTTTCTTCATCCACACAGACCACAAACAATCAATATCACATCGATCAAGTTTTCTTAAGCCTACATATCAAAAATAAATCGGCTGGATCCGGTCCTCTTGAAACAAGACCACTTCACTAACACGACACTAGGGTATTTAGCCAATCACAGTGCAGTTACTCGTGTGTTCCCAAAAATCAAAATGAAACATAATTTTCGTACTTGAAAGGAAAAAAGCATTAGTTTCAAGGTAGAGTGAGATATAGTATCGTATGAAGTCAATTGATAGAATGTCTAGTTTTTTAGTTTTTAGTGTTTTAAAAGATAAATGTTCAACACGCTCTGCTTAATGCTCTCTCTATGTTAATTATGCTTTTTTGGTCGGTACCTATTAATCGATAAAAAACATCAACTGCATCTAATCAACAAAAATGCTGGCGGGTGAAAGAGCATAGATAAGAACATGGAGTGTGTGTTCTGAGTGAGATACCATCAAGTAAACGACTGACGCCACAGATTGTTTCTCCATTAACAGGGTCTTTACCCTTCTATTGACTCCTAAATATTCTACACAAAGTAAAGCAAAACAGACTTATACGTAATTACCATCAGTAACACGCTATTTCCAAATCCCTTGTGTATCGAGTATATTGAGTGACATCGCCTTAAGCTAGTCATTATCTGTGGTCCGACGGTCTAGTTAGATAGACCAATTGGGTTTTTTTAAACACTTTATTCTGTCTTGAACCCAAGGCAAAAAGCTTTTGTTTTATCGATTGCCTCGAAGAAAACCAGTATTCAGTGGAAAGAAAAAGACTTTTGAAAAAAAGAATCAGATTGTGAATAGGTTGGCCTATGTTAACGATAAGTATACAAGACAATGGCAAAGAGATAGAGGCAGTTGTAACTCAAGCTGACACACTTCATAGTAAGTATATATGTATTAAATGCATTGCTTTCGTGTTTCTAAATGTCAAATATATATCGATAGACTAAAACCAACTTTTTCACATATTGATTTAGTGTGCAGAAAACTTTACTTTGCTGGGTTTTCGCAGCGAAAACATGCGATAAAAACCATCAATGCATATATATAGTTCTTCTTTTTAAGCGTTGGTTTCTATCGTGCAATGTTTATTCAAATGTTGTCTAATCAAAATGCCCTTTTCGTATTACAATCTAGTGAAAATAAATTTAAAGAAGATGAATTAGGGTATATGATATAGTACGCACCTTCAAGTGCACAAACCGTATTTCAGCCTTAGATTCTACAAGAACGTCGATATTTCTGCAACTGTAATATATGTTCCATATTCGATTTTGCGCAATTGATCATGTTATTGCGTGGAATTGTGCAATACAAGTAATAAACATCATCATCATCAACATCATTATTATTGTTATTATTATTATTATTATTTTATTTTTTTATAAAATTATTATTATTATTATTATTATTATTATTATTATTATTATTATTATTATTATTATTATTATTATTATTATTATTATTATTATTATTATTGCTATTTCTGATTGTATCTTGAAGAACGAAAAAACCGTCTCAAAGTCCAAGAAAAGTTGCATAAGCTTGTTCAATATTATCGATTTTTTTGTCTATCATCAGTTTTGTTGACACGAAAGTTCTTATAAATCAATAAAGTAAAAAATTGCCTTGAGCCCGTAGGGCTACTACACCAAGGGTGGTTGCCTAGCGATAGATACGATTAAGATGGTCATTATTGGCATTAAAAACTTTAACTAGAAAGATATTTCCTGTAGAATAATGTACACTTTACTTGAAACAAAAAGCTCTACACATAATTTTATTTAAAGTTTAAGTGGGTTTTGTCAGATTTGACTCAAAAACATGACTATTCACGTGCGCCTTGTTGTGTTCTGATTGGCTACAAGATCAAGGTATCATATAATCCAGACTCTTTTAACATGTAGACATCTGTTAGTATGACTTTCAACATGACTCGAACTCAGATATCAGTCCTGTAAATATACTTAAGATATTTGCGCGCGTATATTAATGTATTGACATTGAAGCTATAAAAGGAATTTGACAGGGTGTAGATAAAAAACAGACACAATCAATAATAGTTCAACAAACTAAGAATGATATGGCTGGCTAGATAATGGAAAGCTGTTTTAGTGCTATTGATAGTATATCAGGTATGTGTTGGATATCAGTAAATGTAAGTTCTAGAGCGATTTTCATATACATATGAGTGAAAAACATTTTCCCATGAGAATGGTTATCGTTTGAGTGGGAAGCATACAGTACTGACTTACAGCACGTACACGGTACGACATGCCGAAACAATGAAATGGCTTCCCATAAGAATGGTTAACGTATATCAGTGGGAAGCATACAGCACTGACTTACAGCACGTTCACGGTATGACATCCTGTAACATT